CTGGAAGAGGACTCGGCACGGCGGGTGAAGGCTCGGAGTTGAGCAAATTACGAGAATAAGGGAACCGAATATAGACCCTTCAAGAGTAGGATTTCCCTTATAATAATAATGATAATCATAATAATAATAATAATAAAGCCCCCAATAAGGTACCCCGAACTTCGGAAACCCCCAAATGATTTCAGGGTTTTTTGGGGCAGGCTGAGGCATGAGCTGGAGGCAAGCTTAGGGTTGCTTGAAATCTTCTCAACGCTTTTTAGGGTTTAGGGTTTAGGCTTTAGGGTTTAGGGTTTAGGGTTTAGGGTTTAGGGTTTAGGGTTTAGGGTTTAGGGTTTAGGGTTTAGGGTTTAGGGTTTAGGGTTTAGGGTTTAGGGTTGGGGGGTAGGGTGTAGGGTGTAGGGTGTGGGGTGTAGGGTGTAGGGTGTAGGGTGTAGGGTGTAGGGTGTAGGGTGTAGGGTGTAGGGTGTAGGGTTTAAGGTTTAGGGTTTAGGGTTTAGGGTTTAGGGTTTAGGGTTTAGGGTTTAGGGTTTAGGGTTTAGGGTTTAGGGTTTAGGGTTTAGGGTTTAGGGTTTAGACAATCTGATAGCTTCGACCTCTCTCTTTTCTCTAGTGGAAGGCCCGAGACCTCCCACACATATTCGGATGGGCTGAAGCCAGGTTCCATGGAGGTGGGCTACCACGGAGGTCATCATAGCCCTGTGTTGGTCAGCTGGGTGGTGGCTCTAAGGTGTGCTGTGGCGGTGCTTCTCACCTCGGGTGTAGGGAACCGGTGGCAATGCCTCGCCAAACTCTCATTATTGGTTGTGTATGTACACGTAAATGCGTTTTGCAGCAGAAGCGTATACCCCAAAATAATGTCTTGAAAAAATCGAGTCGGACGAAAGCCCGGATGTTAGCACCATAATCTTCTTTGGATATTGATGTGGGGCTGTGGGCAGGTTGTGTTCCTATTGACTCTGACAGGGTGCCAAATAAGGCTTCATGTGGCAGCTTCTTCCGGGTCGTCCCCCCCCTCATGACACGCACATGTCCTGAAAAGTCGGCAGGCACATCGATAAACTCTTTCACTAGAAGACTAGAATGCTTTTGGGACCGCACCTCACCCCTACCTTTCAGAAAACCTTTCCATCTGGCCCTCAGCTCGTTGATGCAAACGTGCCCTTTAAAGAATATTATTTGGCTGAGGCTTGGCTTGATGCGGGGCGGTTGGGGCGCGCAGCTCCCCCACCCCCCCACCCCCCGTTGCAATCGTGTCAGCACAACGCCTTGCCGAATGTTTGTGGATTCAGAGGTCCTGCGGTGGCAATTCTCATTGAAGCTCCCAAACCTGAAAAGACAGGCTTTTGCACCAGCAGCCTTCGCAGGCTCGCAGTGGAAAAATTGCTGTGAAGGGACGTACCTGGCCTAAAGAACAGAACATGAGGAAACCGAGATCCGAATCTCCGAGCTCACCTACCCTAAACCCGAAACCCTACACCCCAAACCCTAAACCCGAAACCTTACACCCTAAACCCTAGAACCAGACTGCAAGACCGAATGCTCAAAAGCATTCGTCTGCGCAAACGCCGCAGACTAACCTCTATATCTCTCCCCGAAATTAGCTACATTCACTAACTATGCATGCATACCTTGGTAGCCCAGTAACTATCTTAGATTATGGGCACCCGTTTTGGGATTGGCTTGTTTATAAGGGAACCCATGACCCCAAAAAAAGGGTAAAGGGCACCACTGGGCCAGCAAGATACTACTTGTCCCTAAACCCTACACTCAATGCACGGTCGACTCCAGACGCCTCCCGTGCATGAATAGGCTCCAGGCGGGTGTCTCGGCTTGGCCAAGACTCAAGGCCTTTCGCTCGCCTGTTTTGCGGCTTGGAGTTGGAGGGGTTTAGGGTTTAGGGTTTAGGGTTTAGAGTTTAGGGTTTAGGGTTTAGGGTTTCGGGTTTAGTTAGGGTTTTGGGTTTGGCGTTTAGGGGGCTTAGGGCTCTCAGAATTTGATCCTGAGAGGGCGTGCAATTGCACGGGCAGCTTGGAGTTTCATCTTGCTACCTGCCTAGGTCGATCGCCATGATTTTGCGATGTCCTGAGCCCTAACAACCTGCCCCCCTTGCTGAAGGAGGAGTTGGGGGTTTAGGGTTTAGGATTTAGGGTTTAGCCCTACACCCTAAACCCTAAACCCCAAACAGCGCCCAACGCAAACAAAGTATCGCCCCGGACAACACTTTCCCCGCCAAGGTTTGACTTGCTCCAACCTCTTGGCTCCCTGCGAGGCCTGCCTGAAGCCTGAAGTGCCCTTTCCTCTCACCCTAAACCCTAAACCCTAAACCCTAAACCCTAAACCCTAAACCCTAAACCCCAAACCCCAAACCCTAAACCCTATCAGAGGGACTTTTAAGGAAATTTTGTTGTTCGCGAGCCTTCGAGTCGGTTCAGCTCTCCCTTCGTCAGCTGGCTGATCACCCGCCTCCGTCGGAGCTCTCCTGAGGGAGAGCCAAGCAGAGCTAGGGTTTAGGGTTTAGGGTTTAGGGTTTGGGGTTTGGGGTTTGGGGTTTAAGGGTTAAGGGTTAAGGGTTTGGGGTTTGGGGTTTGGGGTTTGGGGCTTGGGGCTTGGGGCTTGGGGCTTGGGGCTTGGGGCTTGGGGTTTAGTAAGGGGTTTAGGGTTTAGGGCTCAAGGGGTTTGCTTCCGACCCCAAAATTACGTGGTTGCAGCAAACGATGCAACCCTCAACCAAGCGGTAAACTCGACATCAATCTCCGCGTGCTCTGCTTGGAACTACCAGGCCCTAAGCCCTGGTAAGGGCTTCAGGGCTAAGGGTTAAGGGTTCAGGGTTAAGGGTTAAGGGTTAAGGGTTAAGGGTTAAGGGTTAAGGGTTAAGGGTTAAGGGTTAAGGGTTAAGGGTTAAGGGTTTAGGGTTTAGGGTTTAGGGTTTAGGGTTTAGGGTTTAGGGTTTAGGGTTTAGGGTTTAGGGTTTAGGGTTTAGGGTTTAGGGTTTAGGGTTTAGGGTTTAGGGTTTAGGGTTTAGGGTTTAGGTTTTATGGTTTAGGGTTTAGGGTTTAGGGTTCAGGGTTTAGGGTTTAGGGTTTAGGGTTTAGGGTTTAGGGTTTAGGGTTTAGGGTTTAGGGTTTAGGGTTTAGGGTTTAGGGTTTAGGGTTTAGGGTTTAGGGTTTAGGGTTTAGGACCAGACGCCCTGCCCATCCCCTACCCTCGAATGCTCAGGGCTCGTTTGAGACACTGTGGGGGGGGAGGAGGGGTCTCAGGAAACACGCAAGAACCTCGTGCGAAGCCCGACAAACGCAGCGGCTGCCTTCCCAGACGTCGAGGCCCTGAACAAGGCGCCGGCAGTCACGGTCCTCAAGGGCGTCTTGGTAGCCCAGCAATCATATTCTAATCAGGGTACCCTTTTTTGGGTTGTTTACTTTATAAGGGAACCTTGCACCAAAAAAACGGGGAAAAGGGTACCACTGGGCAACCAAGGCTTTAAGGGCTTCAGCGAGGCCTCAGGATGCATCTATGAGTGACCTGAACACTTCAGGATGTTGGGCTGTTTGGGCTTGGGGGGGGGGGGGGGGCTTCTCAGGGTGTTTGGGGCTTCCCAGCTTCAGTATATATATATATATATATGAGGACTTCTAGGTGTTGGGATTTGGGGCTGCAGGCTTCGGCTTTGGGGGGTTTGGGGCTTCAAGGGTTGAGATTGCATAAGCCCTAAACATTGGGATGTTCGCCCTTATACTAGAATCCCCCTGTTATAATCCCTACTAAGGACTGAGAGTCTAAAGGGGAACATCCCAACCTAAGCACAACACCCAGGCCTCTTTCTTCTGCTTCTCCCTGCGCCTGCAACGGGGCTCCGAACATCCAAACCCTGAGCTGTAGGGGCCTTAATGACTAGAATAGGGCCTTGGGGGGGTTCTTATAGAAGATTTAGATAGGAACCAAAAGGCAATACTAGCATTAGTCATTCTTCCGACCCCTATAGAACCCTGAGTCTAATGTAAACTCGACACTTGGAGTCGCCTGGAATGGGCGCATTGAACACGTCCTCAGACTTCAGCATCTAAACCTTTACCCTAAACCCTAGACCCTACACCTTCTGAAAAAGGCTTCTTAGAGAGCCCGGCAAGCGAGAAGGGTCGAGGCAACTCAACAACGAAACCTGACCCTGAACTCCATGGCTCTATCGAACAGAATCTCGCACATGTCGGCTGGTACCCGAGCACGACGAAACATTCATTCATTGGACACACCTTAACTGCCAACCCGAAACCCCTACCTGACCCTTAAAACAGCCTTCACCCCGGGGTCATTTGAAGGGGTGCAGGGGTTGGGCCTTCGACGCATCTGCCGCAGAAAGTTTGCTGCAAAGCTGTCGACCTGCCAGGGCTTTGGGTTTGGCTTAGGGTTTGCCTTAACAGGGTTTAGGATTTCGTGGTTCAGGACTGGGATTTGACGGGGCCCCCAACTCCCCAAGTGCTTCTTCATCGTTTCACGGGCCAGCTGCAGATGTCAAGCTGGGTATTTGCTTCGGCACAAGTGTTGGGATACAGCTCTCGCAGGAAGGTCCCGCCGCAGGTACCCCAATCTGGGCGATAATTTCAGTTGCCCAAAGTTCTTGCCCCACTTTGGGGGGTTTCCGAAAATAAAGGTACGCTTTTCAGGGGTCCCTTTACGTATATTCTATTCACTTCGGGGTCTAAAAGGGGTACCCCTATTTTGCAAAGCAAGGGCTGTGGGGATGCTGTGGGGTGGCCTCGTTGGAGAGCGGCTGGAGTGCTTGAGTTAAGATTTAAAATGCCTAGTTCCTACACGCTACACTCTAAACCCTACACTCCTAAACCCTGGATTTTAGGGTTCGATGTGTGAGATCTGCACAAAGCCTCCTTGTTTTTGTCTCGCACCTTCAGCATGCACGGGGCTCAAGGGAGGGAAACCTCAACATCTAAATTTCGAGAACCGCAAAGAAAAAGAAGACTGGCAAGTCCAAAGAGGCAGGAGGGTCGCCCCCCAAACCCTAAGCGTTAAGCCCAAACAACACTCGGGAGACTCTGCGAAGTGTTTGCAAAAGCCTTTGAACAGGTTCTTGGGGGTGAGGGCTTCTCTTGAGCCTGGAGACCTTGAGGTCTTGTTGGCTGCCTCTGCACGGAAGGTGCGCCCTGCAACAGACACAACCGGCTATATAGGTCATTCGCAACCCCTACTAGTTGCTTAAGAGCCCCGGAAAGAATAAAAAAACATTATTCCTTATTAAGGGTAAGAATTATCGGGATGATTGTGCTTTATTCTTATGGGGTTCTTAAGCAAGCAGTAGACCCATACACCCGAAACCCTGAACCCTGAGCTGCCCTCCGCCGCTCCGTCTGCAATGGGGCTTAGTTCGAGAGCCCTGAAACCACAAAAAAAAAAAAAAAAAAAAAAACGCCAAAACGTCAGGACTCGGAACTCTCGGTTTTTAAGGTCTGCGTGCCCCTGGGGCCTAAAAAATCCACCCCGTTCTTCGACGCTTCGAAACCCGAAGGCCACCCGTGCCTTCGCATCAAACTTGTTGTCCGGCATCTTGGCAGCATCCAAGGTGACCCAGCTGCCCTTCCTGGATTCCCACTTCGGTCCCGGGCTTTGGGCTTAGGGTTGCGGGGGGGCTCAGGGCTCTCTCTCTCTCACCCTAGCCCCTCCAGAAGAGCAAGGGTTCGGTCCTTTCTTGAGTGAAGGGAGTGGTTGGGTGAGGCGGGCGGAGGGGAGGGCCAAAACGAGTGCAAACGAGGGGGTTTAAGGAGCACTGAAGGACCTGCGCGGTTCTTTGGGGATGTTCATGTCAATTTGGCAGTTTCCGTGCAGCGTCGTCATGGCTGCAAGTTCAAGACGATGCACAACGTCTGTCGTACTTCTGCAGGCCGTGCAGTGTTTGGGTACGCCTGTTCGAGGCTTCAAAGGTCAGCCAAGGTGTAAGGATGTGGCGTTGCAGTAACTTCACATGGCCTTTGGTTTCGTTGCCTGTATCGGGTTGACATGATTTTGGGAACAGGGGCCTCAGGGGGAGAGAACGCTGCAACCGGACTTATAAGTTTTTTTCGAGCAAAACGCTGTTGTGCTGGACTTGTGCATCCATGCCGAGCAGAAGGACATGCCTGTGGTCCGTTCTTCTTCACTCACCGACGGACATGGCCTTCTCATCTAGGGATCTGTTCCTAGCATTTCTTAGCAATAAGAGTGGCAGCCTCTCAGCACACTGACAGCATCAAAAGCCGAAGCCCTAAACCCCATGCAAGCACTTGAATTTTTGCATCGAACGCAGCAATCCTGATCCCCAACAGGGGGTCCTCGGAACGAAAGGCGGGCGCGAGGTGATCTTGTCCCCCTCGACGAAACTCGGGTGTGGTCTCGGCACGCGCAAAGCTCCACTTTCGGGGTTTGGGATTTGGGGCCTGGGGTTTGGGTCCAAGGGCCCCCCACGCACTATTCCATGATGTTGAGGCTTCATCTTCGAAATAGGTCCGGCCCTGCGCATCAGCACAAGCCCGGAGGACTGCACCTCAAACCCTAATTAAGCCGCATGGCGCTTCGTGAACATCTTAGGCCACTTCTTAAGGTGTTGCCCAGCTTCGGGATCAGGGTTGAGCTTAAGATCGGTTGCGAATGTCACTTCAATCCGCAGCAGCAGCACCATGCTTACGCCCAAAACGATACCCACAAGCCTCCTAAAGTACAAGGCCTGTGATCCAAAATCCTCCAGCGACACACCTGCACAAAGCCTAAAGCCCAACACCTCGACATGAGGAACCCTGAGCCCGAAACTCTTGAAACTTCAAACCTGAACCCATCCAAAAAACGTTAGATCGCAACGGCCTGGCTGCGAAGATGTCGGGCCTATAACCTACCCCAAAAGCATACTTACCTTGTTGGAGGGTAGGGCGAGAAAGTTGTGTAGGGAGTCTAGGGTCAACCTTGGCAGCTGAGGCAGAATCATAACGCGTCGGCTGGGACGCCAGTTGAACTGGGCACGGCCAACAGACAAATCTGAGGATCCCTGGACACTACGAGGTCCACAGCTCAGAGGCGGCCATGTGGGTGGTTGTCAAAACTCTAGTCCCTTTTTGGGTATCTATTTTCATACAGCACCTAATAATCGCTTGGCCACAAGTTAGCACCCCGAAATTCGATGGTTTTGACGGTATCCCGCCGTATTAGTTTCCTTATTTTGTCTGCATTCACAAGCAGACTGAAGCGGCTACTCATTGTTACTTGTCGACAGGTCGCGGCCTCAGACACACAGTGCAGCAACTATTCTTTCCGAAGCCATACCATGAATCGACTGTAGTAAATAATACGGCACCTAATATTTAGGGTAACCCAAAAGTGATCATAATTTTGACAGCCACCCATGTGGCTGCTGGAACCATGCCAACCCCCTTTGCTCATCGGTCGCATCGACATCTAGATCGGGGGAAACTCTCGATGCTGTACGCTGGGTGGCGCCCCCCTACGTAGAGAGGAGCTTACGCAAGCTCCCTCCTTGCCACAGAGTCCTCAACACCCTAGATACCCTAGACAAGGCCTCCCCATGTGGGGGTTTGCAAAGATAGGGGAGCCCAAGTACAAATCCCCACACAATTCATAGGATTCCCTTGGGTGTAGGGTTTAGGGATGACTAATCATGACTTCAACCCAGTTTCCATCCTGGCTTCACATGTGCAACAGCCCAGTCCTGCGCACTCTACGAATACAAAAACACTAAAACCCCAGTCATCTTAAGCAGGGTAAGGAACCGAAGCCCCGAAGCATGACGAACCCAAAGCATGACGAAGCCAAACCGGCCTCCTCAGAGAGCATGCGGCTCATGGGATGCGCCATCTTCCCCTGCGTCAGAGGGCGCCCGTGGGGTCTGAAGTCCAAGGTTCAAAAGACAAGGGTACAGCCTTTATCGTTGTAGGGCTTCGGCAAAAGGCATGAAAAGGCGGTGTTTTGTGGGCTTGTGAAAACAGGTGTTTCGTCCTCTCCAAAGACGGCCGCCTTGGAGGTATGGGGATCCCAAGCGAACAAGGCATGATGCTTAGAAGACGCATCAGCACTCACTAGGATTCGGGATGTTTTGCACCTACGGTAGGGTGTACGTCGGGCTCAGAGTTCGCAACATGCACATGGACTTTTGATGTCACTAGGCCCCAACAACCAAAACCCTGCCAAACTTTAAGGAACAGAGCCCCTTGTCAACACACAATCTAGGGGCCTTAAATCGGTTTTTGGTGATTTGTTTTTGGGGGGGTATCAAGAGAAAAAGTATATAGGGGCTATAAGGGAATACTATTCGTAAACCCTGTATTACTTCTTCCAGGTCCGACTGGTGTCTGGAGGCTTCGAAATCCACAAGCCCCCCCTGCGATCCTCACAAGCTGAGGCCTTCTCAGAGCTTTGAGCCCGGAGCCCTCCTACACCCCGCCACCCTAAACCCTAAACCCTAAACCCTAAACCCTAAACCCTAAACCCTAAACCCTAAACCCTAAACCCTAAACCGAGGCCCCCTACACCCCGCCACCCTAAAAACAACGAGGCGCTACGCCAAGATGGAGGTGTTGGATCTTCCGGGCCTTTTTCTGGGGTTTGGGGTTTAGAGTTTAGGGTTTAGGGTTTAGGGTTTAGGGTTTAGGGTTTAGGGTTTAGGGTTTAGGGTTTAGGGTTTAGGGTTTAGGGTTTAGGGTTGAGGGGAACTTCTTCTGAAAGATGCAGCGCAAAAGGTGGCGGGTCCATGTGCTGCCTGCACCGTATCATCCTTCCTCTTGCCTTCAATGTCGGTCATGAACCTTCGCAGGCGCCCCAAGGGTTCAGGGTTTAGGGTTTAGGGTGTAGGGTTTAGGGTTTATGAAATTGAAGCAACTTCTCTCGACATCTGCAAAGAAGTGAGTCTTTTTGGGCATAGAAACCGTTTTACAAGGGCCGCCAAGAACAGGTGCAGAGCACCGCAGACAATCTGCGTGCGAACTTCGATACTCAGGCTCATGAATGCGTGCACGGTACGGGTTATGAGTGTATCTAGTCTAGAGGAGTTTGAAAGTGACCTAGAAAAGCATTGCTTGAGGCCGGTCGCTTTGCGCCAGAGTGAAATCATCCCTGTGATTCGGAGGCCTTGTAGGCTCAGGGTTTAGGGTTTTTGGGTTTGGGGTGCAGGGGGCAAGGCCCTATCCAGGACCCTGAAGCCTGAAACCTAAATGCTCTCCCTCTCTCCCTCACAACCCCCCCTTGGCCCCAAAGCCTTCGGGTTTAGGGTTTAGGGTTCGACGCTCCGCGGAAGTACGATGAACGGCTGAAGCTGTGAATGACCTGGGAAGGCCACCCCATCAGGCCCTTCTGCGCGATGCCGGTGAGGCCCTCTCGTGCAGGGCAGTCGACGCGCAAGAGGCCTGCGGCTGAGGGCTTAGGGTTGCAACTCGCCGTTCCGAGCCCCATAAAGGGCTCAGGAGCTTCAGGGTTTGGGGTTTCGCTTCTGGCTGCCTTCCATCCCCCCAAGTGTGCGCGTGCTGGGTTCTGAGTTTAGGACTCGGGCTTGTCTTGAGCAGTCTGATGTTGTGGCCTGGACCCTCAATTCTGAACTGCCAACATAAACTAAGCCGAAGACAATCTCAGCAGCTGGCGTTAAGCCTTGGGCAACCCATCAAACCAAGGGCATTGGGGCTTGGGTTTTTCGCGTGAACTTTATTCCCCCACACACTCACCCTTGCAGCACTGAGCCCGAAAGCCTCCCCCAGAACCAGCTTGCCCTAAACCCTAAACCCTAAACCCTAAAACCCCAAAACCCTAAAACCCTAAAACCCTAAAGCCCTAAAGCCCTAAAACCCTAAAACCCTAAACCCTAAAACCCTAAAACCCTAAAACCCTAAAACCCTAAAACCCTAAAACCCTAAAACCCTAAAACCCTAAAACCCTAAAACCCTAAAACCCTAAAAACCTAAAACCCTAAAACCCTAAAACCCTAAAACCCTAAAACCCTAAAACCCTAAAACCCTAAAACCCTAAAACCCTAAAACCCTAAAACCCTAAAACCCTAAAACCCTAAAACCCTAAAACCCTAAAACCCTAAAACCCTAAACGCTAAAAGCCTAAAACCCAAAAACCCTCAAACCCCAAACCCTAAAGTCCTAAAACCCTAAACCCTAAACCCTAAACCCTAAACCCTAAACCCTAAACCCTAAACCCTAGTCGCGCTTTTCACTCTAAGTCGGCGCCAAAAGGTGCACTCCTGAGGGAGATGTCTGGCCTCGTCGGGGGCTTAGGGCTTACGGGGGCTAGGGTTTAGGGTTTAGGGTTTAGGGTTTAGGGTTTAGGGTTTAGGGTTTAGGGTTTAGGGTTTAGGGTTTAGGGTTTAGGGTTTAGGGTTAGGGTTTAGGGTTTAGGGTTTAGGGTTTAGGGTTTAGGGTTTAGGGTTTAGGGTTTAGGGTTTAGGGTTTAGGGTTTAGGGTTTAGGGTTTAGGGTTTAGGGTTTAGGGCTGAGGGCTGAGGGCTGAGGGCTTAGGGTTTAGGGTTTAGGGTTTAGGGTTTAGGGTTTAGGGTATAGGATTTAGGGTTTAAGGCAAGCTTCAACCCTGAAAGCCCAAAGCTGCCCTGAGTTTCTGGAGCTTGGGGGGTTGCGTGATCGAGGATTTGGGGACTAGGGTTCAGTTGCTGGCGCCCCATGAAAGACGATTCTCCAACCAAAACATACCAAAACCCTAAACCCTAAACCCTCAGAGTCTACAACGAATCCCTTGTTACAGACCCAACAGCCAAAGCCCAGGAATCCTGCCCCAAGCCTGAACACTCAACGCCCTCAAAGCAATCAAGCCTCAAACCACAAAGAAGTTTGGGACTCGGGTTTTGGGCTTTGGTGTTCACCGTGTTGAAGCAGTTCGGCTTTTGGGGGGGTTTGAGGGAGGGTTTTTGAAGCTCAGTGTCTGGGGTGCATTGAGCTTTGGAATTCTGGGGGTCCAGAGCTTTCCGAGGTCAGGACTTGGGGTTTACGACTTAGGGTCTAGGGTTTGGGGTTTCGGTTTAGGGTATATGGTTTGGTGGTTCGGGCTTAGGGTCCAAGATTTTAGGGCTTGTCAAGCCACACGAATTGGCAGTTGTTCGCGTCGAGAAGGGGGTCGGGCACTAAGCCCACATCCTCACGTTGGCAGCTCATCTCACTACGGCCCTCCATTCGTAACCCAACCCACAGCCGCAAACTGCAAAGCTATGTAAAATCTAGGGTTGTGGGCTATCTAGGGCCTTGTACGAGGAGCCCTACTTGAAGTTCATGAGCAGCTACGATGAAGGCCATATAGTAAGTGCCCTCGAAACCTCACTTGCTACTAGCCATAGCCTTCATGAGGGTTGAGGCGTGTCCAGGGCTGGCTTAAGTGTAGGGCTTCGAGCTTAAGCTTGATGGGTCTTGTGGTTAGGAGCGAGCGGCCGGATTGTCCTATGCAACCTTGTGCCTTGCTTTCATCCCATCCCACAAAAACACTGCTGAGCAAACCAACTCTACCCCAGTATAAACCCTAAACCCTAGACCCCAAACTAAACCCTAAACCTTGACCCTTAACCCTTAGACCCTTAGACCCTTAAACCCTAACCCTAAACCCAAAACGCTGGACAAGGAGCACTCGGCGCTGTAGCTCCCGGTGGCAGCAGCCTCTTGTGGACATATAGCACCTCAAGAACCTTGGATGGTGTCTGAGGCTTTGGGGTTTTGAGGGTTTAAGGGTTCAAGGATTTAGGGTTTAGGGTTTAGGGTTTAGGGTTTGGGGTTTAGGGTTTAGGGTTTAGGCTTTAGGGTTTAGGGGGCACTTTCGGGTTTTGGGGCGTCAAGGCTCTGGGGCTTCAGGATTTGAGGGTTTAGTCAGGATTCAGGGGGATTTGGGGTCATTTTGATGGCATTTTGTGGGGGACCTCTGCTTCAAGGCGTGCAGAAACTCGGAGTCGTTCATCTTTGGGTGAAGGTCTTCTGGGTGCACTTTAGGATCTTCTTGGGTTTTGGGCTTGGTGGCCTTCCCTTGGGGGCCTTCCAGGGGCCTGGGTGGGCTGCAGGGTTACCAGGGTTACAGGGATGTTGAGCTCGGGTTCAGTCTTTCACGTTTGCTTGGGTGAAAAGTGGCGATAGTTACGAGTACGGGGCCTTTTCTTGGACGATTCGACATGAAAACTGCATGGCGCCGCGCATGTCCATCGCCACAACATGTGAGAAGCAATCGCATCATTTTTCAAACGTAGCAGGTAGCATGGACGAGGGAGATGACCTGCCAGCTTACTTTTACGACGAACCCTCGGACGGCCGTGCCCAGCAACATCAGGGAGCTGGCAGCCACCGACATTCAGGACGTCGCCGTAGCCTTGTTTCACAATCATCATCATAGATGGGGCTTAGAGAACTTAAGGTTTGGCAGCTTGGGGGTTGATGGCATCAGGAGCTTGGAAGTGTGAGAAACCGAGGCTTTTACGGCTATGCACGTGAGACTGAAGCGTGCAGAAAGCACAGGTTTGCCGCTCACGATTGCACATATTGAAACATGCATGTAAAGCGCTTTTACCGAAGGCCTGCAGTTCTTCCGACACCCAAACTTAGCCTGGTAGTTCCTGACCCAGCCTGAGTTGGAACTCCTGTACCGGACAGTCGGAAGTAAAGCAAAGGGCAAGGCACCCACCAAGCCTACTTTACCCCTGTGGGATGCAAGAGACGCGCGGCCGATATAAAATCCCGGAAGGAGGTTCGTGTTCCAGAGCAATCTCGACCGAGCAGCTGTTGCCATGAGCATGCAGAAGCACGAACTGGTCGGCCAGTTTCTCTAACGCCCGCGCCTTGCAGACTGAACGGGGTGCTCCGCGGTGATTTGGTCAGCTTCCATAGGACCAGGGACCATAAGGTTTACTGTAGGGCTTCGGAGGAATGTCGCCTTGGACTTCTGACCCCTAAGCTTCCCGAGACTTCGACCCGAAGTTGAAATCTCGCCGAGGAGGATCTTAAAAGCGTTCCCTCCCAGCGCCCTCCTCTGACACCCCTCCGTGGAAAGGGCTTAGGGTGGCCTAGGGAGTATGATGCTGAAGAGCGATTGAGGAACTATCAACCTGAGATGCGACCTCTCCTGAACATATCGAAGCAGGGTTTGTATTTCTGTTAGTGAGTGTGTATAAGGTTCCTTTTCAATATTGGTTAGTGAGTGTCTGTAAGGTTCCTTTGTAATATTGGTGAGCGCACATGTTGGGTGTCCTTTTGGGGATACAAGGAATATAAACCCTACTCCATATGCTTGTGGAGCGCAGGGATACTTAACAGTCTGAAGTTCATAAGGCCATGGCGCATACGAGAGCCGAGAGGTTTAGGCTCCAGAGATTCAGGAGTTTCTTGGGCAGCCCATCGACACCGCACACAGATTCTTTGGTGGGACCAACGGCCTTGGTTTCGTAGTCGCCCCCACGCATGGGCCGACCCAGCCAGTGCAGTTCGAGGCAGATCCTGAATATCGCTCTAGAGATGGCTGGGTTGGGGCGGCTGCCTAGGATTGGGAGATTTAGGGATTGGGGGTTTAGGGCTTTGGGCTTTGGGGGGCCTACAGGTTTCAGGCCTATAACAACCAGCAGCATTTATCCTCACAGCGGGAGAGTATGGGAAACCAAGGATTTCCCGAATCCTGATTCTGCTGCTCTCGTCTGCAACCTGACTCAGGATGCCGCCTTGGCGTTCAGGGCTAAAGCTCTTCGGGCTTGCAGGTGGGTGAGGTGCTGGAGCAGTCTCCCCAACACAAGGAATCTCGAAACCTTAGGTCCTAAAGCCCTAACCTCTGCTGCTCGCGGAGGCCCTTCTTCGAACTCTCTTCCGAAACCCTAAACTCTGTGAGATCTACGAACCCTGAACCCCAAGCCACAGACCCCGAAATTGCAAACTCTTGCAGTCCCCAACCCCAAAATCCCCGACAACATCTACACGCCTTCAGCCCTGAGCCCCTAACCCCCAGAACCCGAAAACCCAAACCCTCCCTCCCAGCCCCCACCCCCCCCCCCCCCCCCCCCCCAAAAAAAAAAAAAAAAACTAAACCAAAAACCCCAAACCCCAAACCCCAAACCCTAAACCCTAAACCCCAAACCCCAAACCCCAAACCCTAAACCCTAAACCCTAAACAAACAAACAAAGAAAGGCCGAGGGGCTGGTCGAAGCGGCCCAAGACCTCCTCAGGCGTCGACCTTTCGAGCTTTGACTGATGGCCCACTGACGGCGTTAGAGTCATCCTGTTCTAGTGCTACAGGTTTAGGGTTTAGGGTTTAGGGTGTAGGGTTTAGGGTTTGGGGTTTAGGGTTTAGGGTTTGGGGTTTGGGGTTTGGGGTTTGGGGTCTTGAGGCGACTCATACACAACAGTCTTTCCGGATTTAGGGGTGTGGGAGGCGTTCTGAGGAACAGTGCTCTGCCTGCCTTGCTGGGCTTTTCTCCTGCCACTGATACAGCGACTCATCTTAAACTTCGATGAGCCCAATGCCGGCTCTGACTTCATAGCACCACGCCTGACCCCATGATGCGAACACCTGTGAACATAATCTCAATCGCTGTGCGCGAAAGCGAGGTATTCGTCCAAGTAAGCATGCTCTAAACCCAAAGGCCCTAAAGAACCCCAACCACCCGTAAACAAAGAACCCTTGGACAACCCGAAACGTTCTTTTGAAGAACCCCAAACAGCGCCTTAAAGAAATCTGAAGGACCCCCCCCCCCTGCCCTCGAACATAGGGACTTTGATGATTAGAATAGGGCTCTTTTTTTGTTGGGGGTGGGGGATTATAGCATAATTATATGAGGACCATAAGGGAATCACTATTCGCAACTCTTCCGAACCCGTATAGTATAGCACAAATCTCTATAGGGACCAATGAGGGAATCACTATGAGAAATTTTCCGAACCCTAAAACCCTAAAACCCTAAAACCCTAAAACCCTAAAACCCTAAAACCCTAAAACCCTAAAACCCTGAAACCCCAAAACCCAAAAACCCTAAAATCCTAAAACCCTAAAGCCCTAAACCCCAAACCCTAAACCCTAAAAACCCTAAACCCTAAACCCCTAAACCCCTAAACCCCTAAACCCCAAACATGAATTCTGGATCTAAGCTGCAGGATGGCTGCAAACCTGGGCTGAAGCGGCTCATGAATCGCAGAAGGGGTTTAGGGTTTAGGGTTTAGGTTTAGGGTTTAGGGTTTAGGGTTTAGTGTTTAGGGTTTAGGGTTTAGGGTTTAGGGTTTAGGGTTTAGGGTTTAGGGTTTAGGGTTTAGGGTTTAGGGTTTAGGGTTTAGGGTTTAGGGTTTAGGGTTTTGGGTTTAGGGTTTAGGGTTTAGGGTTTAGGGTTTAGGGTTTAGGGCCCCCAAAATAGACCCCCAAATAGTGGGATTCACTGATAATGGGGGCAAGAAGGTACCCCCAATTTCGGAAACCACCATGTGAGGGTTGAGGGCTTGAGGTGCTGGGCCGGGCGGTGAAGAGGACGGCTCGGAACTTCGTTGCTAGTGAGAATTGAAAGGTTCAAAGGTTTCAAGCATGGTGACCGGAGCTAGAACGCAATTCGGTGCTAGCTAGGAGGTGTCGGGATCTAAGAGCTTGCAACTGAGGGATTTCCTACGGGAGCCTGGACATACCTGATTCCACGAGCATCTTCCTACCTGACGCGTGGCCCCACATCTTCATCCACGAAACCCCCGAGACCCGAATCTAGGGTTTACATGTCATGCGCTGCTCGCACCTATCCAGACGAGTGTCTTCAAAGCTGCTGCAACGGCTAAGGCCCTGAGCCCTGCAACCCTCCCCACCCCCCGAACAAATCCAAACCTTCCGCCCCAACCCCCCCAACCCCTGCAACCTACGAAGCATCCTGCAGCTCAGGAGCTCGGCGCCCTCCACATCCGCCTGTGAGGGGGGCCGCGGCAGGGGGGGGGGAGGCGATTCTGGTCTTAGCATCTTCGGGCCCTCAGTGCGAAAACTCCAGGCTGTGTGAAGGCTCAGGATGAGCTGTTTTAATTTTTGGACTGTGAGACGGATGGTGTTCGGATTCAGAGTCCGGGGTTTTGGGGAGTTCCCTCAAATCACGAACTGAAGGTGGTGGCAGGCTCTCTGATCAGCAAACCCCTGTGCAGCTCAAGTCCTAGGGGGGCAATATATGTTTCAGGTCGCGCTTCAGAGTTTCGAGGCAGATGGAGTGCAAGGCGCCTTCAGCGCGATACGCGAGCCGTTGGCAAAGGCGAGCAGCTGCTTGAGGTGCTCCTGAGAGGCAGGAGTCCCAAACCCCTGAAGCTCCACTCCTGTCACTCCTGTCCTGTCTCTCTAAAAAGCCTTGAACATTGAAAAAGAAGACCACCAAAAGCCTTCCGCACTCATTGACTTCCGTTTGGTGTTAGCTCGGGACCTAGGTTTTTGGGATTGAGGTCTGAAGGTCTTCGGTGCATGATGCCCGGTACCCCAGATTTCTGCCTCTTGTGAAGATCTGGTGCCCCAACCCACCTGGAAGCGGAGTTTCCATATCCGTCACGTGTATCTCAAGCCTAGAACTAAAGAACCAAGGGGGGGGGGTTGGGGGGTCCGAAAGGCAAGAGGTAGATTTTGACAGGATTTGAGGCTCGAGCGGCTTTTGGCAATCTTGCAGCTCTGCAATGCTTCTACTGGCTATGCTGCCCTGGAACTTGAAATCTCTGCAGTTCTTGTCTAAGCGAGTTGGTACGGTACAAAGTCTTACTGCAGAACTGCAAAGGACTGCAAGATTTGGGGCATCAAGAGTCCCAGGTTTCAGAGCTCAGAGCTTGAGACTGCAGCAGACACCAGGAAAACTGCTTTGCTTGCAGGGTCGGTTTCCAACTCGGGAAATTCGTAACGTTTCTTCGTTTGCAGGATCAGCTGCCAAATTCATGGGCTTCTGATCTTCCCCTTCATGTCGCAACCTGGAAAATTTGCCCCTGGATTTACAAAACCCGTGATCTTGGTTCCAGTATCTTACGGGCAGCTGCTCCACATACCCGTTTGCCCCCACGACATCGCATCGACAATACTGCATGACAGCGTTCTAGAATTGAAGCTTTCGCGCGCTTCGCACTGAACGCGTACGACACGAGATTCGAGGCTGGGCTTCATCTCAACGCACGAGTGCCGTAGGTCGGCCCTGGATTGAGAATTTAGGCCTCAGACCCTGAACCTCCACATCCCGAACCCCCCAACCCCAAAGACTCAACCCTAAGAGTCAAGCCTGGGTCCTCTGATTCACATCTACAAACCCTAAACCCTGCGGACCCTAAACTCAAAAACCCTGAACCCAAAAAAGCCTGAACCCGAAAAACCTTATACCCTAAAAACCCTAAAAGCTCTAAAAACCCTAAAACCCCTAAAAAACCCTAAAAACCCTAAAAACACCAAAAACTCCCCCAAAAACCCTAAACCCTAAAAACCTTAAATCCTAAAAACCCTGACCCCCAAGAGCATATTCATGCTGGGGGCCTCGATCGTGCCGGCCGTGCCTGCAGGCTTTGAACCCGAAACCCTATATAAACCCGAAACCCTGAACCCTAAGGGCTTGGGGTTTAGGATTTGGGCTCGAGCCTGCGAATCTGTTTGGGGAACGTTCAGGGAATTGGTCTCCGATATGGAGTAGTTCGAGGTTACGGGCTGGTCGTTCCGAAGGCCTTGCAGCAGTTCCAGGGTAGCAGGTTTGTTTAAGCGGGTTCTGCTTCACATTGTTGGGCTTCTTGTCTGCTGATGTGCTTGACGTATGTTGGTGATCGGCTCTTCCGTTGCTGGTGCCGCCCGCGCCGCTCAACCACTCACATTCCCAGCTTCTAACGAACATTTATTCCCCGCAATCTTGTTCCCATGCCCTATACCCTAAAGCGTGAGTCTTTAAATCCAAAGGGGAGTGTCAACAAAATCCCTAAATCGTAAAAATCATAAAAATAAAAGATGGGGGTCTTGTAGCATCCCAAAGGCTAAATCCTATTCTCTACATCCTTTACATCAAACCCGAAACAACATAGGGATTCCCCCTAGCGAATAAGGCTCAGGCAATAAGATGAAGGGAGTAAGTGTAAAAAAAGAATGTACATTTCGACGTTCCTTGGGGATGTAAGGACCCCAATCTTTAGCATCTAAGGAAGATGATGAAGGGAATTCTGGAATAAGATTTCCTTTCAGTTGACATTTCTTTACGAGCTTCGCCTAGGGAATGTATACATTTGGGGATTTCGATAAGAGGGGTACCCCCTTTACCTCAGATGTAGTAGAATTCCCTTAAAAAGACCCCCTACAAAGGTACCCCAGTTATCGGAAGCCCCCACTTATTAAACAGACAAAAACCCTAAATCCCAAACCCCAAACCCCAAACCCTAAACCCTAAGCCCTAAACCCTAAACCCTAAACCCTAAACCCTAAACCCTAACCCAGAAGGTCGAAGTGCCTGGCAGCGGCTGGTCCGACAGCGCCTCGGGGCGCCAGCGCAGCCTAAGGAGGGCGGTCGGAATTCCAGGGCTTGGGGGTTTAGGGTTTAGGGTTTAGGGTTTATAGGGTTTAGGGTTTAGGGTTTGGGGTTTGGGGTTTAGGGTCTAGGTTTTAGGGTTTAGGGCTTAGGGCTTAGGGCTTAGGGCTTAGGGTTTCGGGGCGATGCTTGAAGTAAAGCCCTTAGCCTCTACCTGCACAGAACACAGACAGCGAGTCCTGGGGCAAACCGTGCCCATGTTGTGGAACGAGGCGCTTCGGATGCTGCCGGGGGAGGGCTTCCTTGGCGATCGAGGGTGTCTCAAGTTTAGGGCTGCGGGCGTAAGGCTTCAGAGTTAAGACCTTCAGGGTTTGTCACAACCCGATGGGCCGGTCAAAACATTGACCTGGGTGTTCATCTGTTCAAGGGCGAAACATGCAAAACAGACATCCGGCTGTCTAAGCTTTTTCGTCCCGAGCTGTACCAGGACTTAGTCTTTCTTCCCTAGAGGCAAGGAAAGCAGAGGCTTCTGCTCGGGGGATGATTTTGCCTTCACCTTGGTTGTGGCTATTGCCTTCCCCGTCCCTTGGCGTTCGGCGTTGCCGTACTCCTCTTGGCCTTTGCCTTCCCAGGTCTCTCGAAAAAACCCTCTTTCTTGGCTAACGAGTCATCCATCATGGGCTGCGCCTTCTGGGGCAGCTGGGACCTGTCAAAGAATGAAGAACTTGGGATACACCTGCTTCTTCTCACCGGACGGAACGTGATGGCGCCACTCCACGGCACCAACACTGCCGCATCGCGGCTTTTTGAGGCAATGTCATGATCTGCTCCCAGATTGACGCTTCATCTACCCAGTCCTAAACCTCCGCTGGCCCACAGTCCTGGCTCGCCACGTGCTCGCCGATCTTCTGTCGTGAGTGGCGAAGGCTCTGAGCCGCCACATCCAATGCGACTGGCATGGCTCTGCAGCAGCTTCCCCCTTCATCGGCTGATCAGCTACACGCCGCAAGTTCTTCCTCAAAACGTTCGCCGGCTGGACCCTATTCAAGCCCCTAAATACAATCCCGAGCGACTGCAAGGCTTATGATTCCGGCAGGAAACAAACACTGGCACACACACACACACACAAAGTATCTCAGATGGCTTGGAAAGCGCACCCGAATATGACTGTTGGTTGTCCTGACACCATGGCAACACTTGACTGCTCATTTCGCGCAACACACCACAACACAGCACAGCGCTGCGGTGCAGACTCTGCTTCTATCACTTTCGTTTCTAATCAGTCCTACGCGCTGCTCTTTGCAGGGCCGAAAGGATTTCTTCGACCAATGAAAGCTCTACACGACGTGACCTCCCATCTGGTACCACAGGCGGCCCAGCATCTAATGGGGATGCAACAGAACAGGGGCCACATGTTTTTGCAGCCACAATGGGCACATTAGCATGGCCAACGCAGAAACCCCGATGCTTCTCCGGGTGATGAAGTCTGACAGCAGCCGGGCAGCAACCGTGTGATCGAAAACAAGCACGTCAGTGCCCGTCATCCTCAATGCGACATGATGAGGGCGATTTGGAAGGCAAAATTTGCAGGAGGCGGCTAGGAGAAACAAAGCAAAAAATCTCAACCTGGAGGCCTGAATCCTGAACCCGAATGCCGCAAAATCCGAAATTACATCCTTCAACTTTAAACCTTCCAGACCCCAGAACCTGCCTTGTGGCGGCTTTAAACAGGACCACGCGGCGCAAGCTCCCACTCGAAGTCCACGTTCGTGTCCGCACCATAGCCTCAGAGGTTCGAGGCAATGGGGCCCACGCAGGTGAAAGAGCGTTCGGCAACTTCGGCGCGTTCTCCCTGGACAGTCTCTTTTCTGCAGCTGCCTTCCCATCGGGCTCAAGCCATGCTCTAACCCTCGTTGCATCCTTAGCATTTCAGGCATGCTCCCGAAAGTTCATGAGTGAGCGACTCAACTAGCAAGCGCCCCCACATCTTCGGCTCCTTAGGCCTTGCGGCCTTACAAGCCTTGGAACTTCAGGCCCTAAACCCTGAATCCTAAGTGCCCGTGCCACTCTCCCTTGCAGCCCGGCCGCTCAGCAAACCTGTGAACACGGGCCGATGGCCATCATCCCACACCACATAGCCTGGGAACGGCTGGTAGGGCTTATGGGGTTAGGGGTGGGCTCACTGTTTCCGCAAGAACAGCACCGAAGCACAGTCTGCCACAACGGGCTTTGGGGCTTAGGGCTTAGGCTTTCCTGGAGCCTACAAGGCTCATTCAACCACTACCATGCAAACTTCTGACAACCCCAGCCGAAGTCCAAAACCGTGAACTGAACCTAAACCTACTAACTGGCCCTAAACCCAAAACCCAAAACCCAAAACCCTAAACCCTAAACCCAAAAACCCTAAACCCTAAACCCTAAACCCTAAACCTAAACCCCAATCCCTCAACTGCCGCCTCCGTCGCTGCGGGGGCCCATACGCCGCTTTGCGGCGGGTCCGCCGCGGGGGGCCTGCGGAAAGCCAAAGCGACGTTCAGGTTTGGATGTTCCGGTTTAGGGTTTAGGGTTTAGGGTTTAGGGTTTAGGGTTTAGGGTTTAGGGTTTAGGGTTTAGGGTTTAGGGTTTAGGGTCTAGGGTTTAGGGTTTAGGGTTTAGGGTTTAGGGTTCACCCCTTATCCGAACAGTCTTTCATAGGGATTCGAATAGGGGGTACGATGTTCCCTATTAGGGACTGTTAGTAAGGGTGATTATCCCAAGGCTCAAGGTTTACGGAAAAAGGGCGTGGCACCCCAGGCTCAGGGTACAGAGCCGTGGGCTCACCGTAAGGTCTGCTCATGTGGACATCCGTGTAAAGATAGGTGCGTTTTGGGTGTTGGAAGGCGTTGGGCCAGGAGGAATCATTGGCTTTGACAAGGCTTCTTCCGCAGCAGCAAGGTCTGCTGATGTGAATTAGGGCTCAGTGGTGGGCCTTCTCGGTTTCGGAGGTTGGGGGCATAGGCTTTTACCCGCGGATTGCTTTAGACATTGTTCACTGGACCGGGTCAAGTAGGGTTTGGGGTCTCTGGCGTGCGAGCGTTCAGGATATTTTGGGCTTTGGGCAGGGCTCATACTTCGCAACCATGAGAGTTCGGCAATCTAGTCTAGAAAGGAGAAGAAATAAAGCATAAGAGTTGCGTGGCTGAGCCCTGCGAAGGTCAATGATTCCCACACGGTGTGGGAGCCACGGGCTACCGGCCCCTGTTGTCAAGTCTGAGTGATCGTTTTTTGGAGCTTAGGATACGAAGCCTTTCAACACCAACCCAAACTCTCAACTCCAAACCCGATACAGTCCACAACACCTTGACGATGGCCTACAGTTTCGGGCACCGGGCTTTGGAACCTTGGGGTTTGTGGGGGTTTTAGGGTTTGGGGTGTAAGGTGTAGGGTTCAGGGTGTAGGGTTTTGGGTTTAGGGGGATTTTGAGACAGGCTTCAAAGTTTGAGGCATCTCAAACATGATTCGGATTTCCAGGGCCCACAAGGTTTCCGCAGCCTTAACACTAATTCCCCGGGGGTGCACCCCATACACTCTTCCGCCAAAGCACAAAGAGTCTCAATGCCGCTGCCAGGCGACGCGGCCAGTCCCCATCGCCACTGGCGGAAGGGATTTTGGATTTAGGGTTCAGTTCCCCAGGCCCCAACAACAAACTGACCGGAATCAAGAGTCAGTCACTCAACCCCGAAACGCCCATAAAAACCAAGCCAAGCGGTTTGGGGCTTAGGAGTCTTCCGGGCTTCAGCATCGGTGCAAGCAAGTTTCAGCCTTTGAGGCTCAGGGGCGCAAGATCACGCATCCGCACACCCAGAATGTCTAGAAAAACCAGAGGCGTAGAGGCCCTTAACGTCCTCATGCCGGAACACCCAACCGCCCAACCACCCATCCCTCACTGCCAACAGTCAGTGCAGAATCACTAGCATTCTGCAAAGACAAGCCTTCCGTGCTACCATCATCTCTTGAAACCCTCACCCTTCCGCCTGCTGTCCGCCAAGCGTATTTCGCAACTTCATTGCGTCGTACTGCCCCCATAAAACTCACAAGGCAGTATTTATTATGCTGCAAGCACTTCCGCAACCTCCCTCGAGGTCTAGGCTCTTGGCGTCAAGGTGTGGAGAACAGCGCGTAGAGTCAGACCAATTCTAGCACGCGAAGTCTGAACCCCAGACCCCGAAACCCCAAAGACGAAGACCTAAGGCCGCAAACCGCCCCAGCACGCACTCCCAACCATGATGAAGCCCTCGAAGCACAAAGAAGCCTGCTGCCGCTGAGGGCGAGCGTGGGGGAGATGCTCTCTGCCTTGGGACAGGGGCTGCGGTTCAGATCCTTCGGGGTCCACGATTTGGGGTGTTTAGGGGTGTAGGCTTTAGGTTGAACGGCTGAAACTCACGTGGGGGGGGTTTTGTTTGGGGCTTAAAAGAATGCTCAGATCTGAGGCACAGGTCCTCTAAGACCCAGGGCTCAGATTTTGTGGAGGTTCATTCCAAAGCTGGTCTCAGGAGATTGGAGATTGGTATTCCAACACTATTTCCCCAGACACAGGCCTTCCACAGAAGAACACAGAGAGAGCGAGAGAGCGAGAGAGCGAGAGAGAGAGAGAGGGGTCCTGGGCTATCGCTTACGAGTTCGGGTTTTGATGATATAGGGTTCAGGGCTGGATGCTTGAGGCTTTAGCTGAGGTAGTTCATCCTGCCGGGTACCATACTCGCAGGGTAGCCAGAAGTAGGAGGGCGAATGGGCAGTCACACATTCAAAGCTAGACTAGGCCCGCCCACAATTCCAGCCAACATGCCCTAGGGGCAAGGCTAAGGATAAAGCAGGGTTTGGGGCAATGTCAAACCTCTTTGCTACGCGTCTGCAACCCTGGAAGTTGGAGCCCAAAATCCTATACTTGGTTTCCTAGCAAAAATCATAATTTTAGATGTTTCTTAGGAATTGAAATACCCAACAATACAAATTATTTCCAAGTATCCCTAAATCCAGCAAAGTTCCTGATGACCCAGAACTCAGGGGCGCTACAACGAAAACTTCCCGGGGTGGCAGTTGGCGAAGCCTCGAGGTTTAAAGGCGCGTCAGACTTTTTCAAAAAAATCCTCAGGCGCTGACGCTAAACTTTGGGCTCCGGGTTTCTTCGGGCCTTCGCGCCCTCACACTTGGCTTATGGGTCTAAGCCCGACAGTGCCCTTTAGGGTTTAGGGGGTTAGGGGTTTAGGGTTTAGGGTTTAGGGTTTAGGGCTTGGGCTTTAGGGTTTCGGGTTTAGGGTTTTTTGGGCGGAACTCCATTCTGATCGCCTGTAGCACTCGGCGTTGCACGGCCAGCTCCTTGCAGAGCTCCGTCTCAACCCTCGGTGTGGGCTGTCTGGCTTGACACCCTTTAAGTGCTTAGGGTTTCATGGTTGCTTTTTCTCTCTTTTTCTTTTTTTGGGGGGGGGGGAGGGGGAGGGGGGGCTCGTTTCAAGGAAGGAGGAGAGGTTCTAGGGTTTTGGAGCATGAAGTTGGGGCGTAGTCTTCGCTCGAGAGCTTTGCATCAAGCAGCCCAGTGACTGGCATGGTACACTTTGGGCCCTAGCATTGCCGGTTTAGGGTTCAGGGCTAATATAGGGGCCTGAATAATTTGAATAGGGTTTTGGGGTTTATTATAGTATAATTACAAAGGGACCATAAGGGAATACTATTAGTCATTCTTTCTGACCCTGTATTAGCGTTAACAAGCATTCCATTCAATTTTCCTTGAGGCGAGGATGGAAATGGGAAGAGCCAGCGTGAGACGCATTAACTTCAGAACTTCGGCTTTAGGGTCTGGGGCTTTGAAACTTTCAGTTAAAGGTCGGGCACTCAAGCCGCAGGGAACAACACACAAACGTCCGGCCGAAATCCTCACACTTCCCTTGGCAAAGGGAAGATAGGCCATGCCTCGAAGTACTTCCCCCTTCCCGAAGCCCCTGAAGGAGAACTCTGCTAAAAGGATTGGCTCAGTCTTCACAACTGTAGAGCTTATAGGTCTTAAGCCAAGACTCAGGTTGATGAAATCCTGCGGGCGCAGTGGTGGGCTTTGTTCAGAATCAGCTTCGAGGCGAATCTTCGGGTCTACACCGCTTTCGGATTCTTAGGGTTTAGGGCTTAGGGTTTAGGGTTTAGAGTTAAGGGTTTAGGGTTTAGGGTGTATAGAAGGGAAGCTCGCTGGTGCTATAAGCACCCGGGCCGCTCGCTTGCGATAGCATGTAGTCCCACCCCAACCACCCAAAACTATTCTCATTTAGGGTTTAGGGTTCACCCCCCAAACCCCCCTCAAGGGGGGCTTTCTTGCGTTTACAAAGAAAAAGCAAGGTGGGGCCTCCCGACCTTTGTGGAGCCTGTCAGTGGCTCGCAGGCTTCTTGGAGCTTTCACGGAGTAAAATGGAGGGTGCCCAAAACCGTCGATTGCAATACTAAAAAACCCACATTTTCATTACGGGTCTGGGCAGCAAAACGGTAGGGGGTAGCAGGGGCCTCGGCTGGCCCCTGCTCTTCGATGCATTACTAACCCTACGGGCCTGGGCAAATCTTAGGGGGGTCCCAGAAGAGGGTGTGTGGGGGACGCTCGTGTTTATGCAAACGCAGTTTTGGGGGCTTCAGGGATTGCTGGCTTCAGGCCAAATCGAAGCAGGCAGTGTCAGGTGGAGCCAGCCCTGCTCTTCCAGGGGGGTGCCAAGCAGGTCCAGGGGGGGTCCCGGGTTCTGGGGTCCAGGGAGTTTTGCCTTTTTTGGGCATATAGTGCAGGGCCCAGAGAAGGGGGGGTCCCTGGAATCTGCCTTCTCGGGGCCCCAGCCCCCCCGGAGTTTACCCCCCGACCCCCCTAAAAAGACCAGAATGCTGTCAATGGTGCGGGATTTGGGGTCCTCATTATATAGGGCTTACGCCCTTGGTCTGAGCGTGGCCAGTCACTGCCGTCTCGTCTACCAGGAGACTTTACCCTCCCTCACCGTTCCGTGGAGACGCTCGGTCGGGGACCTCGGTCGAAGCCTCGAGCGCCCATGTAAATGGACAGCGGCGCTCTCGGCAGTTTAGGGTTTAGGGTTTAGGGTTTAGGGTTTAGGGTTTAGGGTTTAGGGTTTAGGGTCTAGGGTCTAGGGTTTAGGGTTTAGGGTTTAGGGTTTGGGGTTTAGGGTTTGGGGTTTAGGGTTTAGGGTTTAGGGTTTAGGGTTTAGGGTTTAGGGTAACTATAGCTTTTGGATTCAAAGGCGTTTAAACCCCTGCGGCCCGTGCAACGCAAGTACGGACCAAGTACGATCAGGTCGTGTTGCAGTTGGGGCTAAGCCCGAGGGCCCTAAACCCTCAACTAGCACAACACTTTTCTGCGCCAAGCCCTACGAAGCCCAAACTGATGCTTGTGCTGCCAAAGCCGACTCCTTCACACCGGGAACAGAGAACCGGGAGCCCGTCAGCACCTTGGAAAGCAGGGGGTTGGGGGGGCTTCCGGGTGCAATCCCTCAAGCCCTAAGCCCCTGGTGCACAACTAAAAAATAATACTCCCTCTCTTAACCGTATAAGGAAGAATATGTGTGTTTTTTGGGGGTTCTTAAGCAATTGGTAGACAATAGTTCGCCGGTCAGCGTTTGCCATGCAAGCTTGCAAGGTACCTTGGCTGCTTCTTCGTAACAGTCGTTCAGAAACACCGCAATGCTACCTCCGGCTGTAAAACACAGATCGGGCATGGCTCTACCACCGTCGCCATCACTACAAGCGTCGGGGAGGAGTACAGTTCTCAGCCCATGTCCTGTCTTCTCGCTATCTCGTCCACAAGTCGTCACAGCTTCGGGATGGTCCGCATGACAGCACATAAACCCTTAACCCTCAACCCTTCAAGGGTTTCGGTACGGCTTGAGGCAAGGCTTCGGGATGATGGGGGGGGGGGGAGAAACTTGTCCTATGCTGGATGGACAAGCTTGGGGATGCTACATGTTCTGAATGAGTCCAATGGGTCATTTAGGGTTTAGGGTTTAGGGTTTTGGATTTAGGGTTTAGGGTTAAGGTTTAGGGTTTAGGGTTTAGGGTTTAGGGTTTAGGGTTTAGGGTTTAGGGTTTAGGGTTTAGGGTTTAGGGTTTAGGGTTTAGGGTTTAGGGTTTAGGGTTTAGGGTTTATGGTTAGGGTTTAGGGTTTAGGGTTTAGGGTTTAGGGTTTAGGGTTTAGGGTTTAGGGTTTAGGGTTTAGGGTTTAGGGTTTAGGGTTTAGGGTTTAGGGTTTAGGGTTTAGGGTTTAGGGTTTAGGGTTTAGGGTTTAGGGGTTAGGGCTTAGGGCTTAGGTCTTAGGGCTTAGGGCTTAGGGTTTAGGGTTTAGGGTTTAGGGTTTAGGGTTTAGGGTTTAGGGTTTAGGGTTTAGGGTTTAGGGTTTAGGGTTTAGGGTTTAGGGTTTAGGGTTTAGGGTTTAGGGTTTAGGGTTTAGGGTTTAGGGCTTAGTGTTTAGGGTTTAGGGTTTAGGGTTTAGGGTTTAGGGTTTAGGGTTTAGGGTTTAGGGTTTAGGGTTTAGGGTTTAGGGTTTAGGGTTTAGGGTTTAGGGTTTAGGGTTTAGGGTTTAGGGTTTAGGGTTTATAGTAGGGTTTAGGGTTTAACGCATGGTTTTGTGCGCCGTCTCGTCCCAGAATCTGCTCGCGGGCTCGCGAAGCCCCGGGCACTAGCTCTGCGTAACATCCCATGCGATGGATCTGCAAGGATCAGCAGAAACCCTTGCGGATTCTTCGCCAGACGAAAAAAAAACTATTCTGCAAGGTCGGCGATGCCTCAACCCTACATCTACAGTCCCTCAAGCCCACAGGAGACTACCCTAAACCCTGAATGCCACCCAGCAAACAGTCGATCTGGTGCCCTGCAACCCCCAAGTACGCCCATCTCGGCCCTACGCACAATATCCTGAAAACCTCAAACGCTATACTATACATCACTAAACAGACTAAACACACAAAACTCTACAAATCCTAGAAGCCCGGTCCCAGAACGGGTCCAGGTTTGCTTTTCGTGTTTTTTCTGGTGTTTTTTTCGTATTTTCATGGTCTTGGGTTTAGGGTTTAGGGTTTAGGGTTAGGGTTTAGGGTTTAGGGTTTAGGGTTTTTAGGGTTTTTAGGGTTTTTAGGGTTTTTAGGGTTTTTAGGGTTTTTAGGGTTTTTAGGGTTTTTAGGGTTTTTAGGGTTTTTAGGGTTTTTAGGGTTTGTAGGGTTTTTAGGGTTTTTTAGGGTTTTTAGGTTTTTTTGGGGTTTTTAGGGTTTTTACTGGTTTTTAGGTTTTTTTAGGGTTGTTAGTGTGTTTAGGGTGTTTAGGGTTTTTAGGGTTCTTATGGTTGTTTTGACGGTTTTTGGTTTTTAGCTTTTAGGTTTTTAGGGGTTTTTTAGGGTTTTTTTTAGGGGGTTTTTAGGGTTTTAGGGTTTTAGGGTTTTTAGGGTTTTTAGGGTTTTTAGGGTTTTTAGGGTTTTTAGGGTTTTTAGGGTTTTTAGGGTTTTTAGGGTTTTTAGGGTTTTTAGGGTTTTTAGGGTTTTTAGGGTTTTTAGGGTTTTTAGGGTTTTTAGGGTTTTTAGGGTTTTTAGGGTTTTTAGGGTTTTTAGGGTTTTTAGGGTTTTTAGGGTTTTTAGGGTTTTTAGGGTTTTTAGGGTTTTTAGGGTTTTTAGGGTTTTTAGGGTTTTTAGGGTTTTTAGGGTTTAGGGTTTAGGGTTCACCTGAAACCATAAAATTCACGAAAAAAAAACCAGAAAAAATACGAAAAAAGAACCATCAGCCTCCCAGAACCACTATATCAGACTATATCCCACCCCCAAACGCCCTGCCATGATGGCCAGGAGACATTGCGCAGGTGGGTAAAAGCCTGTGGAAATCGCGAGTGCCAGGGCTTAGTCTGCACCATTCCTAATTTACTATTCAAAAATTATCACTTTTGTTCCTTACTGGGTTTAAGTGTTCATAAAGATGTAAAATGATTTTCAACAATGACCCGGTAGTGCGGAAAAGAGGGTGGCTTCGGAGCTCCTAATGAGGCCTCCGAAGGCCTTAAATCCACGAGGCCGTGTCTCGTCCCCGAAACCTGAAGCTGGGGGCCGAAATTGCATGAATGCCCCCTTGTCTCAGCAGTTGAGGAAACCGGCTCAGGATTCTAGGATACTCAGGGCCTAGGGTTTTGAGAAGGATAGGGTTCGCCACACCCTAGTATCCAGAGCCTCCCAAACCCTAAACCCTAAACCCTAAACCCGAAACCCGAAACCCTTAGCCCGAACCAGCCCTCCCTGCCTGGCCTGCACAGTCGCCTTGCTCCCCGGTGGCCTGACGAACTGAATGTCCTGAGTGGCTGAAAGGGGTGCCCTTTTTTGGCTTCAAGGTGTTCATAAGGGAACCCAAAACCCTAAAAAGGGAACAAGAGCACTACTGTGTGGCAGGGTTTGGGGCGTGAGGCTCTTGGGTTTCATGTTTCGAGCTGAGGGTGTTCGGATCATTCCTAGGCTGAGTTGGCCGTTGGCTCCACCACAGCAAGCGCAACAAAAGGAGCTTGACACTGCCCCCTTGTGCTGGCCCACCATCACCGGAAGTAGTTATAAAAGTTGATCATGTCCAAACCAAGAAACCCGAAGTCTCAGACCCCTGAGCCCAAGTAGCCTAAAGCCCATCCTATCATCGAAGGGTAGCCCGTAATATGGTCCCTTACCTCCCCTTGCAGGCTTGTGAAGTATGGGTTGTAGAGGGAATGCAAGGGGTATATAAGGGGTCCCTTGTAAGGATGTCACTGCCCTACGACATCACGAGCCTCCGGATTCCTCGGCCCCTGAACCCCTCGGCCCAGATGCGGCCATGGTCTTCTGCAGTGCCGAAAGCACCGCGCGAAGCGCTACAGGGTCGATGCTGGTGCCTCTTCAGGGTTTAGGGTTTGGGGTTTAGGGTTTAGGGTTTAGGGTTTAGGGTTTAGGGTTTAGGGTTTAGGGTTTAGGGTCGTTAGTAGGGATCCAAGATTTAGGGGATTCCGCGCGTTGGTCTGGGTTTCGAGGCTGGGGTGGAGGGCTGGGACTCCTCCAGGAGAGCGCCTCCTTTCCCCGGCCATTGGGCAGCAGTTCGAAGACCTACAAACTCAAACTCCAAGTCACCTCATCCTCAATACCTCCATCCTATGTTCGACCCCCTTAGGGGTTAGGGGTTAGGGTTTAGGGTTTAGGGTTTAGGGCTTTTTGAGCACTGGGCATCCTCACCCCAACACTTGGGCCCTGAAAGTGGTCGATGGCTGTCCTGCAAGCTGCTGCAGCTGCCTGAGGTACTGGCGAAACGCCTGCCAATGCAGCGAAAAATGCCAGCTGTCATAATTTTCACCCTAAACCCTAAACCTCAAGTTCCAAAGCTCGCAGCTGCCGCAGCGGCTGCCACAGGTAGGGTCGAAGGGGCTTCGAGCACTACGAGGTTGAGCTCGGGAGGCTTGGGATTTTGAGCATTAGGCTCTTTGGCAGCTCTGGGCTTCGCGCTCCCCCAAAACTGAATGCCATCCAAAAACCCCGAGCGCTGACACCCTAAACCCGAGATCCTGCCTGGTCGGCTCGCATGCTTCGCTGTTGTCGCAGCAGGCGGACAGAGCGCGACACAGGGCTCTGGCAGCGACTGCAGCAAAGCGCCTGGTGGTGAAGGATTCGAGTTTGGGGTTTCAGGGCTTGGAGGGACCCTTCGAAGGCTCCAGAGACAGAAACTGAAAACCAAAAACTCTTCGCGCTCGCGGACCGCAACTTCCCCTCTGCCCTGGACAGGACTCTGGGTGCTCTCGGGTACAGCAGCCCGTGTGTGAGAAGGTCCTGGGCATGCTCCCCTTTGGGCTTTTTGGGGTTTCGGATTTCCACTTTGGGGGTCTAGGAATCTTGGACCCCGGAACCCCAAAGCGTTTATTAGGGTTGAGGGTGGAAGGTTTAGGGTTAAGGGTTTAGGGAAACCCAACAAACCTTACATCGCAAGAAGGTGTGCAGTTTGGGAAAGGCGGGCTTGAAACCCCAAGCCCGACACTCCTGTAAAACTGCTATCCCGGTCTTGGACAGAAGGGAGTATTCATGAGATGTACGTTCTGGGCCCTCCACCTCCGCCCTCTACCCGATCTGGCGCCTCCATAGACCCTAAACCCTAAAACCTCTAAACCCAATAAGCCCTACCAAGCCCTACGAAGCCCTACTAAGCCCTACTAAGCCCTGAACCCCCAGAGGCCCTGGCCTAGAACACCCAACAAACAAAAGCCTAAACCCGTGTGACAGGACCTGTCTTGGGAGTTTACGAAAAGGGACCCCTAATATAGTCCCTAAAATATTAGGATTCCCTCCAGTAAGGACCCTCATAAGCTACCCCAAACTTCGTAAAACCCCACTTCGGACTTCCGCCCACTTAGGATTCCAAAGCGATTGCTCCCACTGAGCTCAAAACTGACAGTTTGGGCTCTGGGGCATGGGATTGAGTGGGGGCTTCGGCGGCTTAGGGAAGCCGTAAAGGCCATAAAACCCGAACCCACTGCCTCATCCGACATCGGCTCACGACAGGCTGAACACAGCCAGCCGTTTAAAACAGAACCGCCGACGCCGGAGAAGTTCGCCTGACACCTGGTTTGGGCCCGCGGTCTTCCGGCCAAACCCTAACCCTAACCCGAAACCCAAAACCCTAAACCCTCAACCCTCAACCCCCTACCCCCTAAACCCCAAACCCCAAAACCCTAAACGGGGGGACAACCAAGGAAGGAAATCAACTCCCCTAATCGCCCTGAACTTATATTTCCCAGATCGAACCAAGAAACAACCAAGAACACGGATAAGAGCAACAAGGAAGGGGCACCCTTACACAAGTAGAGGGGCACTAACCCAACCCTCACTCCCAAACACGGACTTTTTTCTTTGGACGGGCTGGCCATCCTTGAGCCAAACATAGTTTACGGGTTCATTAACCCTTTCAACTTCCAACACTAACTCCTTTCTACAATACCAATTGCAGCTCCGCACTCCCCCTGTCCTAGGATTTCCTAGGACACATTGGAGATGCAGGTCTTTTGGCCAAAAACTGCCATTAAGGCAGCAGCCAGCTGCTTGAAATGCAAGTTGTGGTTTAACGTCTTCCAGGACTGAATTATAGCACGTTGGCTAACCTACCACCCATAGAGAATCTTTTTTCACCATGATCCTCTCATCACTGAAGACTCCTTGGCCTTCTTCACCACAAACCGTGGTCTTCGCTACGCGAAAAGCTACTTACTTCTACTATCAGGGATTTCCATACCCTTAATAGTAACCACCACATTGTCAGCACATTGGCTGTTCCAGCGCACCCGTCTCCAGAAAGAGAAAAACTATCCCTTCATCCATACCATCCAATCACTTCTTTTTCCGATTGTTGGCAATCTTGAGGTGAAGTTGCAGCAGAATATACTCCAGGTCCGAAACTGTAAGAACAGGATCCTGTACGCCCCTTTGAATTGAGGATACCAATCCTTCTCTCTTTGCGTCCTCAATCGCCTGGCAAGATTGACCCAGCTCTTCATTCGCAGTGGCAGACCCTGGTGCATCCGCATCAGATGGACGATCCTTTTCTTCAGGATCTTGAACCATTACCACCTCTTCTTTTTTGGGACTCTGACTTTTCTCCCTCTTCTTTGTCTTTCCACCGACATTTGACTTTGTGCGCGTCTTCGAGGATTTTTCCACTGCAGAAGCCACCACATTGGATGTTGATCCACCCTTCTCAATGATCGTCGGCATCTTCTTCGGCTTTGGAACCATGAGAGTGTAAGGATCTTCGATAGCTGCAGCTTTCCTCTTCTTGTTTACCTTTTTCTTCTCTTCTTCAACGGCAACCTCCGTCTCCGAAGTCTCAACCACTCCTTTTTCGGCAGGAATATCCTTGCTGGACTCCCTTTCTAGGGATCTCTTTTTACCTCTTTTGGGATCCTTTTCCTCTCCCAAATTGGCTCGCTCATACCATATCCTCAGGTCATTGACCCATTCTTCCACCTCCGCGAGCGAAACCTCATACGACTTCACTACTTCGAGAAGTTCCAGCACGGACAACATTTCAGTGGTCCACGAAACCCATACTTGATCCATTTGGTCAGCATCTCCAGTGAACTTCAGGAGTTTGAACAATGGGTCCGCCTCTGCTCGAGCCAAATCTGGCTTGCCACCGGAGAGAAATGAAATCGCCTCCATCAACAGTTCCGTCATCTTGGTCTCTTCGTCATAAACCATAAAATCCTCCTCATCATCATCGAACTGTTCAGGAGAGATCTCCTTTTCTCCACCATTTGCACCAGACTTTCTCCTTGGACCATCCCTTGGGGGCGTCCTTGGAGACCTTGGCCTCTGTTTTTCCAACGGAACACCATGCTCGAAGACACACCTGTCACCAAATCGACACTTCCCAGACCGAGCAAACTGGACGCACCTCACACCAGTTGCATCATGCGAGAACTCACAATCCTTTCCAGCGAAACATTCTCTCCCTGCCACATAGTATTTGCACCAATATGAATGTAGCACCACATCATCTTCGGAATGGATGAATTTGCAGTCGTCACCGAATTTGCAGCGATCTTTCCCCCTGCCGAACCAATAGCAGAAACCCTTCTTCCTCTTCTCCAAGCGCTCTGCCTCATACCGGTCCATAGGGCGATTGTGCTCTACATGAACATTGCCATGTACCTGGGGACTGCTCCCTTCACCCGACGTGCTATCAGTATTTGGTGCTTGGAGTACAGCTGGAAAACCTGGCCTTGGTCCTACCACCTTCATGATCGGTTTTCCGCCAACTCCTGAGCCATGCTGAGACGATCCAAAAACATTGAACATCTTCATGAAGGCCTTTCTAGTGCCAATCTTCTGCACCCTTTTGATTGGACGTTTCATTGCTCCAACCTTGCATCCAGATGCGTTCAAACGACACAACCTCCTATAACCAACTCTATGTCCCTTCTTCCGAGCCATAAGAATTTTAGAGGCAGTAACATTCTCCACCTCTACCTTTGCAAATGGTCCCTCACTTCCCGGAACAAACCCATCCATATCTGAAGACCTTTCCATCTTTTTTGACACCACTTCGTCGAGGTAGTCTTCTGCGATCCAGGGTAAGTTCCCCATAGAGGAAGGATTGTCATCATTGTTTGGTCCTTCACCAGGATACCCTTTTGCGCTGTCAAAGATCTTACCAGTAGTGCGGTCCTGCATAGAGAAATTCGAAGCCACGCGGGAGTACACTGACCACAAGAAAATCCTTGTGTCCGCCAGTCTTGATGACCCACTGGATGTCTCCTCTTCCGGAGAAACTTCTGGCGCTTTGCCATCCCCTCCAGTGTCACCACTTATCTCACCTCCAGCATCTTCAATGGGAATAAGGGATTCATTGTTCCCTTGATCAAGCACCGCACCCTCTGGTCCAAAAACTTCCAGCACCGCTGTCGAAGGATCCACCTCTTCATCAGCATCGTCGTCCATCCTTCTCCAGAGAGCCTCCAATTGGTCCGCACAAGTCGCCGCTTGAAGGAACTCCATCAACCGAGCCCTCCCGCGCTGCCAGAGAAATTCCGAAACCATCACCGACCCTTGGGCTCCCAGATTCAGGAATGGGTGAACCATTTTGGCTACCCTCGCCATAAGTTCAATATGAACTTCCATGCCTGGACTGCGGCTCCAATCGTAGGCAATTGCCTCCATAGCAGTTCCAAACTTGTCAGTATTCTTGAATTCCCCTTCCAGACCAGGAGACAACAAGGCACCCATCACTGAAAGAGGATAATTCCCCACCGCCGGCAAGCACGGGTTTTCATGGAACGAATGATGCAGGTCAGTATAATGTCCTTGATCTCTCCTTTGAAAAAGGAGTGCTCCAGTCCCTAGCTGGGCATTCATTTCATCCACTTGAACCATTTCAGCACATATCCTCTGTGCCATGTACGCCATTGCTGGCCAGACGGAACGATCGGTAAGACCGCGACGCATAACCCAATCAGTTGTTGGCGACTGAATCAGCGTCCTTGGATCATACACCAGAACAACCATTGCACCGTCACCCATTGACTGATCAGCATCGTCCTCCAGTGCCAGGTTCTCATCCTGTTCGCTTGCACCCTCGGATGACATGCTAATAACCAAATTTCGATCCATCTTATTGGACCCTTTTTGGCAGTCTCTTTGCCCCACCGGCAACTTGCCAACTGCAACCTTCCAATAAATCCGAGTCAGAAGGCCTTTAACCAGCAATTGCTGAAGGTCACTCCTCACCGGACCACCATCCAACATCTTCGCATCATCACCACGGAGGTCATTGCTCCCACCTTCTCCTTCTTTTTGGTCAGTCTCCTCGCCAGAAATCTGTACTGCTCCTTCCGGCGCCGTCTCCTGTCCAGCCACTTCTTGCCCAGGAAGAACTTGAGCGCTTTCAGAGACATTCACCTGTCCAGCAACACCTTGCCCAGGTAAAACCTCATCCGTGGAGCCCACCGCCAGCGAACCAACCATAACTGAACCATCCCTTGCTCTTTTTTGAGACCGTTCAGCTCGACGAGAAGGTTGTGGTAGCGAAAAAACTTGTG